GAGTGGCACGACACACTGAGGACTACTCTTGCTGCTCTTGGGTTTGCTCCTTCTACTGCTGACCCGTCGCTGTTTCTACGCACCGACACCACTCTGCCGCCGTTCTACGTTCTCGTGTACGTAGACGACTTGGTCTTTGCTACTTCTGACACTGAGGCACTCGCCCACGTGAAGTCGGAGCTGCAGAAGAGACACACGTGCACAGACCTGGGTGAGCTGACAAGCTATCTTGGCTTGCGGATCACCCGGGACAGAGCACAGCGCACCATCACCTTGACTCGGTCACACATGGTGCAGCAGGTCCTTCAGCGCTTCCGCTTCACGTACTCCTCGCCTCAGCCCACTCCTCTGCCTACCGGTCACTCGCTCTCAGCTCTGCCTTCGGATGAGTCCGTAGAGCCGAGTGGCCCGTATCCAGAGCTTGTGGGCTGCCTCATGTACCTGATGACCTGCACTCGACCTGACCTAGCCTACCCGCTTAGCATCCTAGCACGCTATGTCGCTCCTGGCCGTCACCGGAAGGAGCACATGGATGCAGCTAAGAGGGTGTTGCGCTACTTGTGCAGTACGTCGGGCATGGGGCTTGTGCTTGGAGGACGGCGCGACGTTGTCCTCACTGGACACTCAGACGCTTCTTGGGCTGACGACCAGGCTACTCAGCGGTCGTCTCAGGGTTACACCTTCAGCCTTGGCTCTGGCTCAGTTTCTTGGCGTTCTACACGCTCTTCCTCTGTTCTCAGCTCCAGTTGTGAGGCTGAGATCTACGCCACAGCCATGGCTGCCCAGGAGCTTCGCTGGCTCACCTACCTGCTGACCGACCTGGGAGAGCGGCCTCGTTCTCCTCCAGTGCTGTACGTCGACAACAAGGCCGCCATTGCCTTGTGTCAGGAGCACAGACTGGAGCACAGAACGAAGCACATCGCTCTGCGCTACTTCCTTGCTCGAGAGCTGCAGCAGCGTGGTCAGCTTCGTCTCTCTTACGTAGCCACTCGGGCCAACACTGCTGACGTGTTCACCAAGGCGCTTCAGCCTTGTGATCATCAGCGTTTCTGTACTGTTCTAGGCCTTGTGCCTACTGTCCCTCACTTGCTCACTGCTTGACTTTGCTTGTACTGTCAGTAGCGGGCTGGTCTGTGCGAGTAGTATGGTGTGGATCTGGGCAGTTGGGCGGGTCAGTGCGTCGGCAATGTTCGATGCTCCCTTTTTATAGGTGACCGTGTAGTGGAAATTTGACTCGAGGAAATCGAGCCAGCGGATCTGTCGTGGGTTGAGGTGGGGCTGTGCGCGGAGGTACTGTAGGGATCTGTGGTCTGTCCGTACTGTCACATCTGCGCCGGTCAAGTAACAGCGCCATACCTTGAATGCATGCACGATCGCGAGCATTTCGCGGTCGTGTATCGGGTAATTCTTCTCGGGCGGATGCAGTTTTCGTGAGTCGTATGCGATGGGCTGTAAACCGTTGCCGAAATCCTGTAGCAGTACGGCTCCAATGGCGATGTCGCTTGCGTCTGTAACTACTTCGAATGGGCGGTGTGGGTCGGCGATGCGCAGTACGGGCGGTGAACAGAGAACATTTTTCAGGGCAGAGAAGGCAGCATGCTCTTTCTCCCCCCACGTAAAAGCGACCCCCTTCCGCAGTAAATCTGTCAGTGGGGCGGTTAACCGTGCCATGTCGGGGACGAACCGACGCACATAATTAACGAACCCTAAAAAACTCTGCAGCTCCGTGATGTTCGTCGGGGGGTGCCATGCTTTTACTGTGTCCAGCTTTTTTTGGTCGATCTCAACTCCAGCCTCCGAAATAACGTGCCCCAAAAACTCTAACCTATCCTGGAAGAACTCGCACTTGGAACCCTTGGTCAGTAGTCTGTGCTCGTCTAAAACTTTAAATACTGCTTCCAGATCTGCTAAGTGCTGCTGCTTATCGCGACTGTAAACTAGGATGTCGTCGAGGTAAACTATCACGCATTTATCTAAGAGCGGCCTAAAAGCCTCGTTCATGGTCATCTGAAATGTCGCCGGTGCGTTGGTCAGCCCGAATGGCATCACGGTGTACTCGAATGACCCATACCTAGTTCTAAATGTTGTTTTTACGCAGTCCGATGGTTCGACCCGAATCTGGTGGTAACCTCCGCGTAAGTCAATTTTCGAAAAGACCCGTGCTGTTCGCAGTTGATCTATCAGTTCGTCGGCGCGGGGAATGGGGTATCGCGACTTGACTGTTACCCTGTTCAGTGCTCTGTAGTCGATACACATGCGAAAACCCCCGTCTTTTTTTGGTGTGAACAGTATCGGTGCGGCGAACGGTGACGAGCTCGGTCGGATGAATTTTTTCTCTAACAGGTAATCTAACTGCTTCCTCAGTTCATCGAGCTCTGGCTATGTCAGTCGGAATTGTCGCTGTACAGTTGGCTGTGCCCCCGGTTCTAACTCTATTCGGTGGTCATGTGCCCGCTGAGGTGGCAGTCCCTCTAGTAAATCGTCAGGAAAAATCCCCGGGTACCGTTTCAACAGTTCCTGTAGTTCGGGCAGTACCGCTGCCAACAGTTTCTGAAAATCGCTCGGCTGCTCTACTTCTCCTACCAACGCTGTATCCACTGCGTACATGTCAGCTCCAGCGGCGACAGCCCGTTTCATCGTGATGGCGTTGACGTGGACGGTTAAAGACTCGGGCGACTGCCAGCGAGGTAGCACAACCCAGTTACCGCTACTTCGCACAGTGCAGCTACCCGTCGTCCAGTCGAGTCGCGGGTTATACCGTCGCAGCCAGTCACGTCCCAGTAAGATGTCGTGCCCATCCAGTGTCGTCGCGAGCATTTCCTGTGTAAACCCAAAGTTCCCCCCGCAGCGGACTTTTACTCTTTCCACCTTCTCCCGTATGGCCAGCGGCGTGCCGTCGACTAAGCGTGCATCTATCTCCGGTAAACACCGACTAAGTGTCAGCTGCAGCTTCCGTGCGGTTGCGGTATTAACTAAGCTGTGACTTGCTCCTCCGTCGATAAAAATCTTTACTGCTGCTCCCTGTATTTTCCCGTGAATTAGTACTGGGCAATCCGTCGATGTACCCTCCTTATTCATCCGAGCCCGATCGATAGCGTGAATCGGTACTGTGACTCGGTCAGGGTCGGTGAGGTTGGGCGAGCAGGCAGTCTCGTCAGTAGTTGGCCCAACTTCTACTGACTGCTGGCGTTTCCCTGCCTCTGAGACTCCCTCCCCTGCTCTGCTCCGCGGCGCCTTAGCTCCTCTGGGCACTCGCTTTTGCGATGGCCCGGCCTGTTGCAAGCAAAGCAGCGCCCCTTAAACGGCGCGGCAGCTGCATTCGCCGCAACGGCGTGTACGGTGGCGTGCTCGATCGGTCCCCGAGGGCGATGTCCGTAATAGGACCCCGGTCTCGGACGGCGCAAAATGTCGATTTTCTCGGCGAGCGCGAGGATCTCGTTAAAATTCGAGAGCCCGCGCAGCATGATTTCGTGCGAGATGTCCGTCTTCAGCCCTCAGACGTAACGGTCCACCCGCTCCGCTTCGTGCATGTAGCCGACTTGCTCGCATAATGCGAGAAAACCGCTCGTGTAATCTTGAACTGATCCGAGCTGCCGCCAAGTACGCAGTCTCTGACGCGCCGAAATAGAAGCCGCGATCGGCTCGAAGCGCGCCCGAAGCCCTGCGCACCACGCATCCCACGTGCTGTACTGCGCGGTTTCGCAAAATGAACTCCAGGTGACGGCTGGGCCCGTGGGCTCTTCCTCTTGCGATAGTGGCTCGTAGGCGCGTGGCGACGTCACGATGACTCGCCACCAGTCCATGGCGGGGCCCCTCAGCAGCGAAACAGCGTAGCGAATCTTCGCCGCGTCCGACTCGACGTAATTCGCGTCGAAGAAAACGTTCATCGTGAAGACCCACAATTGAACCGTCGGACCTCCACGTTGGCTCGGATCGAAACAGGGCGGGCGCTGCGGCTTGACTGGCATTGGTGCCATGATGTCGTGGCTGCCACTTGTTGCTGCAAATTCCACGTGCCGACGAGCTTCGCGAGGCCCACGCGGGCTTGGTGCGGCCCTTTTTCTCTCCATGCCAGGCATCGATTGAGCGGCGCCATCACTGGCTGCGCCTGAGCGCTGTCCCACGCTGTCGTGTTGCGTCGGTGTGCCTGATGAGATGACGATCGGTTCTTCTGATTGCGCAGGTGCATTTGCGGGTGCTTTGTGATGGTGCTGGTGCATTCACTGTTGATTGCTGGCGGGCGGAGTCACGTTCCGCCGTGAGTGTCGCGATTTCGAGCGCCGAATCTTTGAGTTGGTGCACGAGACGGTCGAGTTGCTTCTGCGTCAATGTCGCAAGATTGATTTCGGCCATGGCGGGGGTGTCGGGCAAGCTCAGCGAGAGCCTTTGTCGTGGCCGTGCGTGCTTACGAGAGAGCACTTCGAGCGGCGGTGCTTTTTCGCTGAGAGACGTCTACCCCCCCCAAAAATGGAGATAATGGGAAAACGAAAGTGTGGGCGCGGTCCGAGAGGAGATCGTAGGCTCTGAATACCAAGTGTTACGAGTGCAATTGAGTGAGCGAGCGAGAATTGCACTATCGAAGCAAAACAATACAGTTGAGCGAAAAGCATGAGCGAAGCTAGCGTGGTAACGGTAATGCGGGAAATTGGGGTGCGCTACGGGCCTGGTGCCGAGGTTGGGAATTGTCGAGGCGGAGGTCCGGAGCGCGGGTTACCAACCGAACCGTGAGGTTGGGTCGCATCGTGAACAGTGGCGGGAGTCGTGGTCGAGGCGAATGTCGCGAGCGGGTAACGTTCACGGATGGGTGCCGATGGCGGGAACGGGCATGTACGCGGTAAGCAGGGACGCGAAGTAAGGAAAAGGAATTTTCCTTACAAGTCTCCACTTCAGTTCACTTCAGCCTTACGAATCACAATAGGACTTCGAGCTTTCCGATTCTGAGGCTAGATTTGTATTCGTCATGGTAAATTTTTATTTGCACCCTAGGCAGGAGTGGGAAAATGACGCAGCGAGTCTCATGTACGTCGAGCCAGCGTCGTCGCCGCGACCTGAGCGGCACGGCCTTTCTCCTCCTCTCGCTCGTCCTGCTCTCATCTCTCCACTCGGCGCTGGCCTTCCGCTTCTCCGCGGGGCTCCGCGCGGACAATCTGCGCGGGATGATGCGTGGATGGGAGCAAGGCGGGCGCTCGACCGGCCAGCCGCAACAACAGAGCGGCGGAACGAGCGGAGGCGGAATTGGCGGCGGCGGAATGGGCGGCGGCGGAATCGGTGGCGGCGGAATGGGCGGAGGCGGAATGGGCGGCGGCGGAACGGGCGGAGGCGGAATGGGCGGGGGCGGCATGGCTGGCGACGGAATGGGCAGCGGAGGAATGGGCAGCAGCAGAACGGGTGGCGGCGGAATGGGCGGGGGTGGCATGGGCGGCGGAGGAACGGGCGGAGGCGGAATGGGCGGCGGCGGCATGGGTGGCGGCGGAATGGGCGGCGGCGGAATGGGCGGCGGCGGAACGGGCGGAGGCGGAATGGGCGGCGGCGGCATGGGCGGCGGCGGAATGGGCGGCGGCGGCATGGGTGGTGGCGGAATGGGCGGCGGAGGCATGCGCGGCGGAGGAATGGGCGGCGGCGGCATGGGTGGCGGCGGAATGGGCGGCGGCATGGGCGGACCTGGTTCCTCTGCTCCCGGATCACAATCAGCCATGGGTCCTGGGGGGAACATGGGCGGAGGCTTGGGCGGCGGAGGCATGGGCGGGTCAGGGTGGTTTGCTCCAGGGTCGCAGGCAGCACCCGGTCAGGGTGGACCTGGGATGGGCGGAGGGATGGGTGGGGGGATGGGCGGAGGGATGGGCGGAAGGATGGGCAGACCATCGTCGTTTTCTCCTTGATTCAGGGCAGACATTATGAGTCACAGGGGGGACTTGGATACCGTAGCTGTATAGAGGAGGCAAGGGTGGTGGAGTGCAGAGGCATGGAACGTTGAAGGCACAAAGGAAAATAAAAGTTTGTAGGCGTCTCAGTGGCATTGCTGCAAGAGCTTGGGTGCAGCAGCACGTGCACTGATGTGCGGGGGCTATCAGTGTAGTGCTGCTTCGTCCAAGCTTGTAGCAGCCAGACAGTCTGAGCAGCAGGATGTTTCGCATGTGTAGGCTCTCTGGAATCTTGTGGAGTGGGTGTGTGAGCATATTTCTCAGTTCTGTGAGAATTCTCTCTTTGCTTTCACACAATACAAGGCCTAGCTGTTACATTGAAAGCTTGCCCTGTCGAAAGACTAGGCAAGAATCAGAAACATGAAATAAGGGTTTTCACTAGCAGGCAGTTGAGTATATATAGCAAACCCTAATTTGGGTTGTACTCGCTATAGAGTACCTCACTGCAGGCTAGACAAACATCACATTCTGACACACCCCCATAGTCAAAGTGGGGTATAATCAACACAACAAGCAGGCAGAGCAATAGTTCACAAGGATAAGCAAAGCTAGAGGCTATCACAGAGGGCAAGTGAGGAGGAGGAGAAACTGTGGAGGACGAGAAGATCAGAGGCGACGGCTGAAGCTGCAGACACACGGGCAACAGGAGTGCGCAGCACTGACGCTACCAGGCTAAACCCGGGCTACACGGCGACAGGCGCAACTGGCTCACTGTTCTCCCAGGAGTGCTCACACTGTGGCTACCGGGCGCAGAGCCCCGGACTACACGGCCACAGGGGGTCGTGGCTCTCTGGACTACCAGGAGTGCTCACACTGTGGCTACCGGGCGCAGAGCCCCGGACTACACGGCCACAGGGGGTCGTGGCTCTCTGGACTTCAGGCGCTGCGGACGACAAGTCGGCTACCTCCGGTCAACCTCCCCCAACTGTCCCACACCCCTTTCACACACCCCCTGCTGAACCACTAGAACCGCTCACACGCCACCCCCCTCATACCACTCCGACGGCTCCAACACATCCACCCCCCTCAGCGGCAGCTGCAGCAGTGGGAGACGGAGGAGGAGGAGGAGCAGGGGACGGCTCACACACACGGCACCCCCATACTCTCCACCCCCAAACCCTAACACAGGAGCGCGGTCAGAAGCTCGGGGGACGGCGTGCGGGACTGGGGCAGACGGTACGGGCCGCTCACGGGCCTGGCGCAGGCCGGACGAACCGCGCGCGGGCTGCCCGAGCCGCGCGCGGGCCTGGCGCAGCCCGTACGGGCCGCGCGCGGGCCTGGCGCAGGCCGTACGGGCCGCGCGCGGGCCTGGCGCAGCCCTTACGAGCCGCGCGCGGGCCTGGCGCAGGCCGTACAGGCCGCGCGCGGGACTGGCGCAGGCCGTACGGGCCGCGCGCGGACTGTACGGGCCGCGCGCGGGCCTGGCGCAGGTCGCGCGGGCCGCTACGGGCGACGGGGGGCGACGCGCGGGTCCCCGGGGGCGCTGCGACGGGCGACGGGGGGCGACGCGCGGACCGACGGGGCAGAAAACCGCCGCGCGCCCCGAGCGTGCGGCGGGATGAAAAATACGCTGTGCACCCGAGCGCGCGGCAAGCAGAACACGTCGCGCGCCCGGGGCGCGCGATAGGCAGGACAGCAGCGGAAGCATTAGGTGGCGGGCCCATCCACAGGATCGACCCAGGAGGGTCGACCTGCTCTGATAGCATGTCGAAAGACTAGGCAAGAATCAGAAACATGAAATGAGGGTTTTCACTAGCAGGCAGTTGAGTACATATAGCAAACCCTAATTTGGGCTGTACTCACTATAGAGTACCTCACTGCAGGCTAGACAAACATCACATTCGGACATGCCCAGGATCTCAACCAACCAGACATGACTATCGAAACATGTGTCATGACACAAATAGCGTAAGCGCAAGTGTTTGGTTGTTTAGTTTTAATCAGCCATGGCAGCTGTGCGGTCAAGACAGTAATATCATTTAGCGCCTCTTGACAGCAACCATTCAAAGTTCTATGGCACATGCGTGTGCAGGAAAGGCACACATCAAACATACCGTCATCGCCCGTATAGTAGACGGTGTTGAATAGTAGACAGGGGTTGTCTATTATCCGGGTGTCTCTTATAAACAGGCTAGCCTCATTATAAGACACCAATTTGTGTGTAGGGGTTAGGGGCAATTGTATAACGAGGGGGTGTCTTCTAAACGGTTCTTTGTCCATTTATAAGACTTATAAGACACCCCAAACCATCCCAAATACAAGATAACCCAAGCATTTTGAGTAGTGTACGAGATAAGACATATATGTCTACTATCCGGGCGATGACGGTAGCGTAGTATAGAGACGAATGGATGCACAATCGAGACTGTACAGCAGTGCAAAAGCCAAGTTGGTGAATTTAAGAATTTCACTCTGTAATGAGACCAGCAAGAGCGTGCCCAGCTCTAGCATGCGCCGGGATCTGCTGCTGGTCCCTAATAGTTCTCTGCCTCGTTATAAGTCACCTCAAGACACTAATAGCTCTCCTCTGCTTCGATGTCTGGCCGCGAGAGAGTGTAGTTGAGGGCGTTGAGTGTGAGCTGGGAGGGGCAAGGGAGACGGAGAGCAAGATTGATTGAGAATGGTTTGCACTTGGGAAGGGGAGGGGGATGGGAATGGGAGAGAAATTAGGGGACAGACCAGGGGCGTGCTACTGGGAGTTTAAAGAACTCCATAAGGGTGGTGACAATTCACTGAGAGCTGGGATGGACAATTCACTGAGAGCTGGGATGAAAGAAAACCGGGGATGGTGACGACAGAGAGGAAGGGAAAGCAGAATAAAGATGGTGAAAGTGATGAAGATGAATAAAGGCTAAGAGCACACTACGAGTCAGCCAGGAGAAAGAGGAAAGAGAGAGTGGTTTAGAGTGTTGGACAATGTGTGCAGAGGAGGAGGGATGAGAGGCAAGATGTGGAATGGGAGCAAGAGTGTCGACTCATGATGGACAGGCAGCAGGGCATCCCTTGAGAGAACACCATTGCGTTCATGCTCCCATACAGTGTTCGCTCAGAGACTTGCTGCTGGAGCAGCCAGCAGTGGAGTTGATGGGACGGGTGGCATGAACACCATATGCCCCCGATTAAATCCCGTAGCCCCACAAAATAAGGGGAAACTGCCGGCGAACACTGTGGCAAATTCATTCACTGTGATCGTTTCAACCTCGAGACCGTTTCATCTCACCGTGTCTCACCGCGCTCGTTTCATCTCACCGCGCTCGTATCTCACCGTGGTCATCTCATCATCCAGTGGCCCCCCATGGTACGACACCGTGAACACATCCTTCGCCACCACGCCCTGCACACACATAGATGCGAGATAGGATATGGGAGATGGCGGATGGTGAGTAGTGCATGGGATGTGAAGCATGGTGCAAGTCCGTGAACACATCCTTCGCCACCACGCCCTGCACGCAAGAAGATGGACGATGGGAAATGGGTGGTGAGAGTATGGGATATGATCATTGTTGTGAAACAAATCCTTCGCCACCACACCCTACACGCTCACAGATGGACGATGGGCCATGCCATGGGAGATGGGTGATGGTGATTACATTGCAGCATGGGAAGTTCCGTACAGGGAGCGCATCCTTCACCAGCACACCCTGTTGGGAGACGCACATGAGTGAACGGGTGCATGCATGCATGCACAGACGATTGTCATGCACGCCACCCCCACCACACCACCCCCACCACACCACCCTCAGCACCGCTCAGGACCCATCAAAACAATGCCATACCCACCTCGGTGTCGATCTCTGCTGACGTCACACTGACGGACATCCCAGTCAGCACATCCACAATCTCCATGAGCAGTCCCGGCCGGTCCGCCGCCTCCACCCTCAACTCGCTGCCCGTATTGTCCGGGAGGGGCGTGAGCGCCATGCGCGTTGGCACGCTCGCCTGTGGGGTGGGAGGAAGCACACGTGCAGGGAGAGTATGCAAGCATTGATCCGGCCAGTCTGCCGCCTCCACCCTCAGCGAGCTGCCGCTGCTGTCCGGCAGGGGCGTGAGCGCCATACGCGTTTGCACGCTCGCCTGTGAGGGATGTGAGCGAGAGTAATTGAGACAATGTGCGAGCACTCAGAAGCCCGAAGAAGCCTGATGGCAGGGTGGCAGCGTGGGGAAGCACGGAGGGGTGACGGCTGAAGGAGAACAGGGAGAAAGGAGCAGCAGTCATTGCCGAGGAGAAAACTGGTTCAGGTAAGTGACCAGGCACCTGTGCTGCAGCAGTGCACGTGCTTGGAGATTCCAGAAGAAGGGGAAGGGAACAGAGAGAAGGGAGCAGCAATCACTGCGGAGGAGAAAACTGGGTCAGGTGAGTGACCAGGCACCTGTGCTGCAGCAGTGCACGTGCTAGGATATTCCAGAAGCACGTGCTGCTCCGAGAGGTCACACAGCCACACGATGCAGCTGCTGTAGTTGCTAATCGAGATTTCCACCCAAGCATTTGTAAATCGCATACGTAGTCACGATGCATTTGGGGTCGGAGTGACCTAACACGGCCACCTGTACCTTAAGGTGAGTACACCTGTACGGTAGGCTCACACCAGTGCTCCACCCAAGCCTCTCGACACTCGCCGCAATCCCAACCTCCTGACAGTCCCCACCCTCTGCCCTAACTCCCAACCAGTGCCCCACGCACCACGCACCCCAGTCCCTGACGCTTTCCCCTCACTCACATAACGAGGTGACTTTTGAGTCGACTCAAAAGTCAACTCCCAACCATGGCCCCACGCATCACGCACCCCAGTCCCTGCCACTTTCCCCTCACTCACATTGCAAGGGGGCGAGTCGCACGTGAGGCCCATGGCTAGCTGCGTGCCCGACTCCTGCAGGTGAGCGTGGGAAGGGGGAAGAGGGAAAGGGGAAGGGGGAAGGGGGAAGGGGGAAGGGGGAAGGGGAAAAGGGGAAGGGGGAAAGGGGAAGGGGGAAGGGGGAAGGGGGAAGGGGGAAGGGGGAAGGGGGAAGGGGGAAGGGGGAAGGGGGAAGGGGGAAGGGGGAAGGGGGAAGGGGGAAGGGGGAAGGGGGAAGGGGGAAGGGGGAAGGGGGAAGGGGGAAGGGGGAAGGGGGAAGGGGGAAGGGGGAAGGGGGAAGGGGGAAGAGGGAAGGGGGAAGGGGGAAGGGGGAAGGGGAAGGAGAGGAGAGGGGTGCAGGAGGCGAATCGCATTTGAGTGCCACAAGACACTAAAAACAGACGTATTCCCGAGTGAGGTGGGGTTGGGGGGAGCAGGGTAGAGCACGAGGGAATATACTATATAACACGGGGAATGTGGTACGAATATAACATTGGGTGGCAGGCACTGCATACAAGCAGCAGCACTCACGGGGTTGCATGCACTGCACATAGGAGCCCTCACGGGGTGGCGAGGAGCACTCACGGGGTGGTGAGTTGAGTAGCACTCACAGGGTGGCATGCAAACCACACACAGCGTCAGAAGTGCATAGAGCAGCACTCACGGGGTGGTACTTGAGGAGCAGCACCCACGAGTGGTTGGCAATGATGGGGGTTGAGCAGTGCACATGGGGGCACTCACGGGGTGGTACTTGACGAGGTAAGAGATGATGGTGCCTTTTGAGTCGACTCAGAAGGTAACCACAAGTAGCAGCGCTCACAGGGTAGCATTCAAGCATGCGAGCAGCAGCACTCACGGGGTGGTACTTGAGGAGGTTAGAGATGATGGTGCCTCGAATGGCCTCTATCATCTCCGCACTCTCCACCTTGCCGCCCCTGCGAGTGGAGGTGGTGTGTGGAGTGGCAGTGCAGGGCAGAGGATGGGATGGGATGGGATGGGATGGGCAGGGGATGAGATGATTTATTCGAATAAGAAGTCATCTCCTGTCGCACGCCCATGGAAGGTACGTGGGGTGGCATGGCAGGGCAGGGGATGGGGGACGGTTTAGTGAGTGGGACAGATGACATGTGCTTTTTGACATTATCTCTTTTGGCAGTTTCTCTTTTGCAGGATGAGGCAAGGGAGGGCCGCTTGGAGAAGCGCAGGGAAGGGATCGAGCAGAGAGGGAGGGATGTGAGACATCTCAAAAGAGCGTTACACAATGCGCCAACATTTTATGTGCACCTCCCCCTTCCACGCCTCTCTCTCACATTCCTGGGTGATGGTCACGTGCGTCACTGCATGCAAAACTGCCTGCAATTGTCACCCGCCCATCTATTCACCACCATCCCTCGTCCTCCCCATCCCAGAACTTCCACTACTCTCCCCTCTTTGGCCATCCTCCTCCCAACCCCCCTCCTCACTCACTCTTCCGTGCTTGCCCATCCCCCCTCTCCCTCTTCCCTTCCCCCCAAACGGCACTCACTCCTGTGTGATGGTGAAGGTGTTGCGAGCAACCGTGCCCGCTGTCGTCACGCGTCCCTTCACCACGTTCAGCCCCAGACTGCGCAGCGCTGCCATCTGGTAGGGAGGGGAGTGGTGGGGTGGGGAGCAGGGTGCGCGGGTGGGGAGGCAAGGCAGGGAGAACAGTGAGCGAGGTGAGGACCAAGTTGACCAGGGAGGGAGCCAGCCACGTGCCCCTCCACGTTCAGCCCCAGACCTTTGAGTCGACTCGAAAGTCAGACCGCAAAGCGCGGGAGGTAAGGCGGGTGGCTTAGGCAGGGAGAGCAGTGAGGCGGACACTAAGTTGACTTAGGAGCGACTGCCCCTCCTCCACCAAATTCAAGACCTGACTGCGGAGAGCCATGTGAGGCGCCTCCCTTGCACCCAGCCGTGCCACCACTAGTGCACCCAGGGCCTGCCTGTCCCCACTCTCTCGCTCCACCCCAGGGCCACGCACTCTCCTCTCACTGCTTGCCTATCACACCCCCCAACACCACCCCACAACACCGCGGCACATCGCGATACCCTTGCCACGCCATGTTCCCCCACCGCCGCACTGCACCACGCCATGTCACATCACAGTTCCCTACTCCTCGCCTCACCGGCAGCGCTCACCGTGTCTATAAGGGCCCACCACATCCCCACCCCTCCCACCCGTGTGCTCACTGTGTCCATGAGCGCCCCCAGCCGGTCCCCAAACTCGAGCTGCACAACGGTCGCATTGGCCTCCGAGTGGTTGTCTATCACCACCACTGGCACCGGCACTTCCTCTGTCTCCGCCTGTGCTGTGCCTGCTGCTGCTGCCACCACTGGTGCGCGGCTGGCCTGGTAGTGGGAGAAGGCAGAGCGATGGGGAGGATAGGGAGGAAAGACGGGAATTCTGTTTAACTTCCCCATGTCTGAAGGCCTCCGAGTGGTTGTCTATCACCACCACCGGCACCGGCACCTCCTCTGTCTGCTCCTGTGCTGTGGCTGCTGCTGCTGCCACCACTGGTGCGCGGCTAGCCTGGTGGTGGGAGAAGGAAGAGCGATGGGGAGGATAGGGAGGAAAGACGGGAATTCTGTTTAACTTCCCCATGTCTGAAGGCCTCCGAGTGGTTGTCTATCACCACCACCGGCACCGGCACCTCCTCTGTCTGCTCCTGTGCTGTGGCTGCTGCTGCTGCCACCACTGGTGCGCGGCTAGCCTGGTGGTGGGAGAAGGAAGAGCGATGGGGAGGATAGGGAGGAAAGACGGGAATTCTGTTTAACTTCCCCATGTCTGAAGGCCTCCGAGTGGTTGTCTATCACCACCACCGGCACCGGCACCTCCTCTGTCTGCTCCTGTGCTGTGGTTGCTGCTGCTGCCACCACTGGTGCGCGGCTGGCCTGGTGGGGCGAAAAGGCAAAACGACGGGGCAAACAGGGAGAAAAAACGGAAATTCCGTTCTATGTTCAACATGTTGAGAGCCCCTCTTGAGTCGGCTAAAAAGCCGCCTCCGAGTGGTTGTCTATCACCACCACCGGCACCGGCACTTCCTCTGTCTGCGCCTGCGCTGTGGCTGCTGCTGCTGCGACTATGGTGTGCCGCTGGCCTGGTGGCGTGAGAAGCGGGGAGAAGTCAGAGAGATGGGAAAAACAGAGTGGAAGAATGGGAGTTCCAGATTCATTGTCATGTTAAACTCTTATTTTCTCTTCCACCAGTTGAAAGCCCTCCAGGTGGTTGTCTATCACCACCACCGGCTCAGACACCCGTTGTGCTTGTCTCTCCACCTCCGTTGTGGTTCCTGCTGCTGCAACTAGGGTGTGGCTAACCTGGTAGGAGAAGCGGGGAGAGAAAAAGCAGAGCGATGGGGCAGGTACGGTACGCAGAAAGAATGGATGTCTTGTTATTCCTTTCCTTTCCACGTCGAAAGCCCTTCCAACGTTGTCACATCCCCTTCCGACAGGATGAACGCAAGTTGGATTTCCGCTGCGCCCTCAGAAGCTGCTTGGCAGTCACCACTGCCAGCACCGGTTCTCCCTCGCCTCGCCTCGCCTCCCTCGAGAGAGACGACATGCCATGACATACCTTGACAATCCATGCCTCTCACCTTCCGCAGAGATCGCAGATGAACAGGTGCGGAGAGGGCGGAAGGAGCTGCGCAAGCAGCAGGGGGGATGGCGCTGCTGGGGGGAGGGGGGGGGGGGGGGGGGGGGGGGGGCAATGGGGAGTGAGGGGAATGATATGGATGCGGTGTGTTTGGAATGGTGCACAAATGGCACGGGCATGAAATCCGACGAGGGTACGTTGAGACTGAATTGAAGCAACAACCTTTCAATGATTTCTTTCGTCTTTCAGATTTCAGCAGAAATTATTCTCTACACTCCCGATAACTTTCGCAACCGCCAACAATAATTTTTATTTCGAACGTCTCTGATCAAGCAAAGTTGAAGCGATGCAGGGACAAGGTGAGGAACGGGGGGGGGGGGGAGGTGTGAGGAAGACGACACGCGGAACTAGAGGCGTACGAAGAGAGGGAATGACGCTGGCGTACTACTGTACTCGAGTCGAGTCACAGTGCAACGCAAGTTTATACACGCTATACGAAGCTGCATGCTGCGCCAAGGAAAACAAATCCGCGTGTTCCCGGACATCCGAATTCGCCTCATATGACAAAGATGACACGCGTGTGAGAAACGGAAGACAGAAGAACCACCGGTAAGCTCAAACACTTCTGTTGCTGCATACCTTCTTTGCCCGCGATGGCTGTTGCTCAACGGACGACCGGTGTTCAGCGAATAAAATATGGGACCGTTGCATGCGGTGGCACGCACAGCAGGAGTATTCATCGCCACGTCGGACACGCCGGAAACCGCGAAGACGGTAGAAACGGCGGATACGGCAGCCATGTCAGAAAATACGCGTGTGGACAAGATGTCAACAGCGCGACGGTGTTGCTTGCAAATTCCTGCCAACGCTGGCCGCGATGAGCAATATCGTCGGAGGGTAACAAATCCGAGGCAAGCAGGGAGCGCACTAGACAACCACCAACCTTCTCGAAGCTGTGCTTCCGTGCAAGCTATGGCTGAATACACCAGTCAAGTAGCTGGGAAACGCGGATGCGAGGGAAATTGGAATCTCTGACTGACCTCCCTGCTGCTTCCACTGCTACTGCTGGTGCTACACCGACCTGCACTGTAGCAATTCGGGGATCTCGAGGTGGACGGGCTATTCTCGCCCTTGGTGCTGTGCTGTGGCTGATTTGTGCTGCAAATGAAAGAATCAGGAAAGAGCAGGTGACTGTAATGGAATGATTCGGCGGTCTCCACATTGACTAATGGCGGGAGCATCCGGATGCTATGGAGATTCCTCCACGCTGGCATTGTTCCTCGCATCGTCAGCCACGCCACATGGCAATAGTCCTTGGAGACAATGTTGACCTGGGTACCTGTATGAATCTCTTACGTGGCACTATTTCGCATCCGTAAAGAAGGGGATCCCTGAACTCAATAAAACCGTTTCGTTAAATCACAGCTGAACCTTTCTAATGCTATAAAAATACTTGGAACTTGGAACTTGTCCTACAAAAATACTTATTGAACAAGCATCCCATATGATAGAATGCCCATAACTTCATTAGAACCCCATCTACCTGCACAGCTTGTGCTGCGCTATCACACACTGCTGCAGTTCTAAACGCCAAAAAACTCCTTGTGCAGCAGCTGCACCAGCTCTGTGGCTTCATCATCATCCACTACCAACGCAATGTTCACCTGCAGGCGAAACAACAGAACAGCCACATGTCAGCAAGTACTCTAACAAACAACACCTTGTTCAAAACTCAGTTCTAGAAAACTCTGCACTGCAACACCGGACACACTCGACTCAACTCCATCCACCTCTCACCTTGGAAGCTCCCTGTGAAATCATCTGCACATTTGTCCCGTTTCGTCTGAACACGCCAAATACCTTCTCCAGAATCACCGACGACCGCGCCACGTTCCCAATCAGACTAATAATCGACCGGCGCTGCAATAACTTCACCACCGCCACCTGCTCGAGCGCCTCCACCATCTTTTCCAGCTCCTGCTGAATCAGCTCCCGCGACCACAGCTTCGCAGGGTCAAGAGTCAGCGACAGGCTCACCTCACTCGTCGCCACTACATCCACCGAAATCCCCTGCGCCTCGAAAATCGCGAAAACTTTCGCGAGGAACCCAAACTGCCCGAGCATCCTCAGGCTGACCAGATCCAGCAGGGTAACCCCACGCTTCACCACAATACTGGTCAGCAGCGCCGACGATAAATCCCTCTCTTGGGTAATCAACGTCCCGGGAGCGCTGCGATTATACGAGTTCTTCACCCTGACTGGAATATTCCCCTCCCGCGCCGGTCGCATGCTCTGCGGGTGCAGAACCTGCGCTCCGAAATACGCCAGCTCGGAAGCTTCCTCGAAGGTGAGGAAGGGCACGGGCACAGCGGAGCGGTGCAGGTTGGGGTCGCAGGTGAGCACCCCGTCCACGTCCTTCCACACCTGCACCTCCCGCAGCCCCAGCGCCCGCCCTATGATGGTCGCCGTCAGGTCGCTGCCTCCACGGCCCAGCGTCGTTGTCGCACCCATCTTCTTGCCCTGCGGGAGGGCCGTGGAGCGAGGGGAGAGGGGCGAGGGGGGAGCGGAGATGGGTGAGAGGAGGTACGACATGCTGTTGATAGTGATGCTGATGACATGGAAGCAAACCACAGTGTAACCAAACCACACAGAGAGGTGTTCTTGCGTAGGTGCCGCTTATCCATCCGGGTTTGCCAGCCAATTTCTTGCGATTGAGTGGTTATAGACGGTCCACTAAGCACCCAACACTTGCACGTGCATGCCCACACACAACTTTCAGAAAATGATTCTGGGCGCCCCCTTTACTCTCAATCTTTCTCATCCTCTTCCTCCTCCACTCACCCTGCCCAGAAAGCCAGTGACCACCGGAATGAACGCCCTGCTGCTGCTGTCATCCCCGCTGCCAGCAGCACTTTCCCGGTGAGCATGGTAGGCGGAGAGGAGGGAGTCGGCCACGGCGGGGTAGGTCTCGTCCAGCACGTCCGCTCCCTTTTCCACTCTCCCTCCCACTCTAAATCTGCCCCACTCCACTCTCTCCCCACCCCATCTCGACTCATTCACTCACCCTGCCCAGAAAGCCCGTAACGACCGGGATAAACGTCCTGCTGCCATCCCCGCCGTCGACATCACTGGCAGCAGCAGCCTCCCGGTGAGCATTGTAAGCGGAGAGGAGGGAGTCGGCCACAGCGGGGTAGGTCTCGTCCAGCACGTCCGCGTTGGTGAACTCGTCCGTGGTGATCACTCCCATCTGGAATGCGTCGAACTGTGGAATGGGGTGGAGTAAGGGGGAGTATGGGAGCACGCATGGGGCGTCAGGACGCAGCAGGAAAGGTCTCGTCGAGAACGTCTGCGTTGGTGAACTCGTCCGTTGTGATCACGCCCACATGGAATGCGTCGAACTGGTGGGGGGAAGGGGCGGCGAAGGGTGGTGGTGTGTTTGAAGGTAGAACGGGAGGACACATGGGGAGAGAGACAGGAGTGGGACAGGCCTCGTCCAGCACGTCCGCTTTGGTGAACTCGTCCGTTGTAATCACGCCCACGTGGAACGCGTCGAACTGGAGTGGGGAAAGGGGCGGCAAGGGGTGGTGGTGTGCTTGAAGGTAGTACGGGAGGACACATGGGGATAGAGACGGACAGGTCTCGTCCAGCACGTCCGCCCATGTGGAACGCGTCGAACTGACAGGGGGTGTGGGAGGGAGCAGGGAGGGGAAGGGGTGGGGGAAAGGGGGGAGAGAGTGGAGGGAGGGGAGGATTTGTCGGCATGGGCGGTGACAACAGCAGCAGGGAACGTCCACATTGGTGTCCCGTGGCGTTTTGAAGAGAGGGAAATAGAGAGGGAGAGGGAGGAAGAGGGAGGGGGGGAGTGTGGGAGGGAGGGCGGGAAGGGGGGAGTGAGAGAGAGAGGGAGGGAAAGAGGGAGAGAAAGAGGGAGGGAAAGAGGGAGGGAGAAAAAGAGGGAGGGAGGGAAAGAGGGAGGGAGGGAAAGAGGGAGAGAAGGAGGGAGGGAGTGGGGGAGGGAGGGAGGGAGGGAGGGAGGGAGGGAGGGAGGGAGGGAGGGAGGGAGGGAGGGAGGGAGGGAGGGAGGGAGGGAGGGAGAGAGGGAGGGAGGGAGGGGGGGGGGGAGGGAGGGAGGGAGGGAGGGAGGGAGGGAGGGAGGGAGGGAGGGAGGGAGGGAGGGAGGGAGGGAGGGAGGGAGGGAGGGAGGGAGGGAGGGAGAGAGGGAGAGAGGGAGGGAGGGACGGAGGGACGGAGGGAGGGAGGGAGGGAGGGACGGAGGGAGGGAGGGAGAGGGAGGGAGGGACGGAGGGCTTGGTCCGCGGCGTACCTGCTTGGACGGCACTCCCAGGGAGTTGAGGTAGGCGGCGAAGATGCGCGTGGAGCAGCGCTCGCCGAACGACACGAGGTAATCCGAGGACCGCGGAGTCAGCTCGCGCATCAGCGCTATCCCCGTTACTAGCTGCTGCAGCTCGTGCATCAGTTCTGGTCAGAGGGGACAGGGGGATGATTGAAGCAAGGGGAAGAGGTGAGTGAGGAAACAGATTAGACTTGGAAATCAAGAGCAGATGAGAGGAGCTGAGTGGACGGTTGACATAAGCAGCGCAAGAGGATTCAATAAGCAGCTTGCGCACTGCACAAATCGCAGCGGAAGGGTTTAAAAGAACGGCCAGGGGTTTACGCGAACAGTCCGAGGGGTTTTACAGGGTTTAACCCTCAACGGCCACTGAGCAGCTCTCGCCAATGAATTCAGGGGCTAGCTTGCACGCACCCATGATACCCCTGACTTACTTTTGAAGTTCACCAGCATAACTCACCCACACCACTCACCATGCACCTCAGCGCAATCGACGCCGAGCTCCTCCATGGTGGACACGTGGAGCTCTCTGATCACTCGCAGCTCGTCGATCGCCGCGCACTTGGCGGACCCGCATGTCAGCGCCCTCTCGCCCACCTGCCAGTAACGGGGATACAGTGTAGCTAGCGAGAGCTGTGAATTCGCCGTCGCTGTCGGTAAGACTCAGTGGACGAGTCGAGAATAAAAAGGTACGCTTGTGGCTATGTCAATCCTTGGAGGAACGGTGATTGGCGGAATGAGTGGCCTGCAAACGTCCACTTCTTTTAGATCGAGCACAGGGGCAACGATTCAACGACCGGCTACGAACACGACTCCGTTAGCCAGCCGTCGTTCATTCTAAGCCGGGAAACAGCCTCTCAGAAGTCCACTTAGACGTCACGTTGGTACGCTTTCAGATCCATGTATTCAATCGCATTTGCTCTAGTAGTCATAACTCCGTCAGCAGAGCGTGCCGCACCTTGATCAGGTGGTTTGTCGTTTTCCCCATAGCGGACATGACGATGATCGGATTCTCCTCTGGGAATGACAGAATCAGATCTGCCACCTCCCTCATGCGCGCCGCGTTCGCCACCGACGAGCCGCCGAACTTCATAACTACAGTGTACGGCACTTCTGGCGGCAGCGCATCTGGCGTCTCGGCGAGCGGCGCGTCGAGTGATTGCAGCGCTGACGCGGCTCGGACGGAAGACAACGTAGGGGCATCTGATTGGTCCTGATCGAGGCGTCGCGAGGAAAGAGCGGGAATGGGAGACTGTGCCCGAGCGCCGGCGTTCTTCAGGGATAACGATTGGCTGGATTTGGCGGGAACCGGCTGGGAGATGCTAGGCAGGCCGTGAGATCTGGACCGTACGTTCCGATCTAGGCACTCCGCTCGTACTCTCGGAGCGCAAGTGGCAATATTGATACCAGGAGCCATGGCGAACGTGGGAATTCGCGCAAAAATGTTGCTGATACCTCTACGGCTTTTGTTTCGCACGGAGTGACAGTTATTGAGTGAGCACAGGATGTGATCGCGACTCGACCGGCTGCTACTATAAACAGACTGATCGGGACAAGAAACGGCGACTTGCGTGCTGGCGGCTAGATTATAACTAAACTGGTACCTACTCGCTACTACCTGAACACTGGCTGTCGGCTGATACAAAAGTGCCATCGTCTACTTCCCGAGAGACTATGAAGGCCTGACCAGCAAACGTCACGATGAGCACCACGAGCACACTCAAGCCAGCGTAATTTCCTCGCAATGTTGCAACTTGCTTCCCGCGCGGTCTGTTCCACCTGCCTACAGCCACAGACAATGGCGCGTTGGAAAGGGGCCGGTTTTAGGCCCCAACCTACTCGAGCAGGCTTCACTGCGTTGGAGGAGTGGTGCCTTGTTGGACCCTGAATGCAGGGTTTATTGTGCTCACCTACCCGCAAATGCACAGATCTGCGCTGACTTGGACTTGAAAATGAAATGCCTGGACGATTGTGACTGCTCCAATCTTCGCTGTGCTGTTGGTGCGTGCGAGGCGAAGCGAAGCGAAGCGAACGAGCCTGTTCGGTCGGTGACCGTTTGAACAGTGCTCGAGGAGGGGCTACGGGGTTGATGGACTGGCGGGAAAACGGCGAAAATTGGAAGCGCGTTGTCCGTGAGATGGGAATCTGCGCCGCCCTGGGAGGAGCGAGACTGGAGCGTGTCCTGGTGCGCGAAAATGTATGCGGTTCGTCTTGCGTTTACAAGTTCCAGCTTTTTTGCATGGGATATTATTTATAAGGATACATGTAGCTTATTCTGATGAAGCAAAGTGGTAATCTGATCCTCACTTACTGAAATATCGATGCACCTCGAAATTGGAAATGGCACCTCGGAAATTCAGCCCGCGACTGACAGCAGCGCAAGCTGGTCTGGTTTCGCAAAAGCACAACGGGGCAGAGGCGCATGTTGGGGTAACCGCACAATGAGACGTCAACAGTAGCTCAAACCTGGGGGCTCCGCGCTGTGAACAGGTTGGGTTGGGTGGTGGTGGAACTGTGGCGGAGATACTGCACGGGGGGAAAGGCAAAAAATCAATATTGGCGCGTCTGAGAAAGGCTGTTCTATGGATCATAATAAAACAGTGGATTTGTTCTGAGCGTAGTAGAGTGCGCAGAATCACAGTTATCGAAAGTGTGGCTGAAAGAATCCGATAATAGGCACGTTATAGCGAATGACCCCAGCTAGGTGGGGACATCTGAAATCGAGGCTTGGCAGAGGTATGGGTGTGCGAAATAGACGACAATAGGGAGCAGTCCAGGAAATGAGGTCAGAACGTCTTGGCAGGGCGCGTCGCACCGAGTTTCAAAGCTTCCACGCACTAAAAAGCCCTGTGGGATGCATCGCATTCGCGAGCCATCGCGCACCAAAATATCGAGAAAGTTAGCGATGTTTTGGTTCAATGCAGGACGTGCAGGTACCCTAAGCCTTGGGTGACGTCACCAATATTGAATATATACCCTATTTACCCTAAACCTTGGCAGCAGCGACGTCACGCAGCTCTGCGCGCTCACCACCCTGTGAGTGCACTGCTTACTTGCATACAATCAGTATGTAGTTTGCATGCCACCCGGTAGGTGGATTGGAAAGTCTGCTGCTGCTGCTGCTCCTTGGATATTGCGTTCCTACCCACGCTGTCACTCTAACAAAACCGGTTGAATTCAATGCCCCCCGGCCACCCACGCAATCATCAATCATCAAGCAACAAGCAATCACTTTCATCCGCCTTTCCCCCTCCCTTTTTTCCCCTTCCCTTTCCACTCACCATTCCTCCTTCCCCTTCCCCTTTCCCTTTCCTCCTCTCCCTTCTCCCTTCCCCTTTCCCGCTTCCCTTTCATGGGCTTCACATGCGCCTCACATGCGCCTCACATGCGCCTCATATGCGCCTCACATGCGCCTCACATGCGCCTCACATGCCCCTCATGCGCCTCACATGCGCCTTACATGCGACTCGCTTCCTTGCACCAAAGCCTACCGTCCAGCACCCCTCTCTCCGTCTCTTCCCCTTCACGCTTCCCGCTACCCTTCCCCCCTTCAGGAGTCCGGCACGCAGCTAGCCATGGGCCTCACGTGCGACTCGCCACCGTGCACTGTAAGTGAGGGGGGGACGTTGGGGGGAACTGGGGTGGGCGGTGGATGGGGAGTGGCGGGAGGTTGGGGAAGGGTGGGGGGGTAGACAATGGTGGGAGGAGTCAGGCATGGAACTAGCCATGGGCCTCACGTGCGACTCGCCACCGTGCACTGTAAGTGAGGGGGGGACGTTGGGGGGAACTGGGGTGGGCGGTGGATGGGGAGTGGCGGGAGGTTGGGGAAGGGTGGGGGGGTAGACAATGGTGGGAGGAGTCAGGCATGGAACTAGCCATGGGCCTCACGTGCGACTCGCCACCGTGCACTGTAAGTGAAGGGAGGGGGGGGGGAGGGGGGGGTGGTTGGGGGGTCTGGGGAGGGCCGTGGGGGGAACTGGGGAGGGTCGTGGGGGGGATTGGGGTGAGCGGTGTGGGGATGGGGTTGGGCGGATGGGGGGTTTGGAATGGGTGGGTCCATGCGTGGTGGTGTCGTGGGGATGCGTCATGGCAATCACATTAGGCTGATTGGGATTAGGCTGATTGGGTAGGTTTCGAGGCCCTCACATCTATTCCCTCACTCCCACTACCATCGGAAACCATGGCACTCACACCCCTCTCGAATGGTTTGAGCAGCGAGCTGAGGGTGGAGTCGGCAGACTGCCGGTTGGTGTGTGCATTTTCTCCCTTTGCTGCGCGTCAGAATTCGTCTCTCCTTTCACAGCCCATCCCACCCCCCACAGCCCAGCATCCCAACCCGCATGGCGCTCACACCCCCCCCGGGCACCAGCGGCAGTGGGCTGAGGGTGGAGGCGGCAGAGTGGCGATAGCTGATTGCACCCTGACATCAGGCATTTGACAGGCTTCTTATTGGTCCCTCATCCTCTCTCCTCGCATGTGCTCCCATCGCAGCCCGGCATCCCAACCCGCATGGCGATTACAGCCATGCCTGATGGCTCTGGCAGCGAGATGAGTGTGGAGGCGTTGGACCGCAGTGGCTGGCAGCGAGCTGAGGGTGGAGGTGGCAGACCGGTGATTGACGCTTGCATCATCACCTTCATGTGTGCTCCCGTTTCCCACAAGCGAGTGTGCCAACGCGCATGGCGCTCACGCCCCTCCCAGACAGCAGCGGCAGCTCACTGAGGGTGGAGGCGGCGGACCGGCATGATAACGCTTGCATATTCTCCCCTCACGTGTGCACTCCCATCCCCCACAGGCGAGTGTGCCGACCCGAATGGCGCTCACGCCCCTGTCAGACAACACGGGCAGCTCACTGAGGGTGGAGGCGGCGGACCGGCCGGGGCTGCTGATGGTGATCGTGGATGTGCTGACAGGAATGTCCGTCAGCATGACGTCAGCAGAGATCGACACCGAGGTGGGTGTGACGTAGGTGTAGACGGGTCCTGAGGTGAACGGGGCGTGGTGAGGGGGGGGGGGGTTATGAGGGGGCTGCACACCCCCTCTCCCAGCATCAAAGGATTTGCTCTCTGTGAGTGCTGCTGTGAATGACAGTGCATCCGTGCTGTGCATGCCACTTTTTGGTATATGCATGCATGCACCCGTTCACTCATGCCCGTGTCCCAGCACATGTTCTGATGACGGATGTGGTCCCTCTGCTGCGCTTCCCATGCTGCGCTGTAATCACCACCGCTCATGTCGTATCTCCCTTCTATGCGCATGCAGGGAGTGGTGGCGAAGGATGTGTTGACAGTATTTCACATTTCACACACCATTTATCATTTCCCATCCTCCATATCTGTGCATGCAGGGCGTGGTGGCGAAGGATGTGTTCACGGTGTCGTACCATGGGGAGCCACTGGATGATGAGATGACCACGGTGAGTTGAAACGAGCATGTTGAGATGAAACGAGCGCGGTGAGATGAAACGAGCACGGTGAGATGAAACGCGAATGTTAAGATGAAACGAGCACGGTGAGATGAAATGAGAATGGTGAGATGAAACGAGCACAGTGAGATGAAACGAGCAAGGTGAGATGAAACGAGTGCGGTGAGATGAAACGAGCATGGGGAGATGAAACGAGCGCGGTAAGATGAAACGAGCATGGTGAGATGAAACTAGCGCAGTGAGACGAAACGAGCACGGTGAGTCGAAACGAGCATGCTGAGATGAAACAATCACCGTCGTGTTATTGCGCCCACCAGCATCATCTTCGTTTAGCAAAGCTGTGGGTCTGACTTGGAGGTACTGTGTAAATTGTTCCTTCGACTCCACTCAGGCCACAAAACGTGCAAATGAAGCACCCACCTGCTCCTTAGATGATGCACTCCCTGCTCTCGTCTCCACATATTCCATAATGCATGTGCCTCCTCCCCTTCACACCTCCTTCTCTTTCTCCTTTCTCCTGCCTGACTCCTAGGACTCTCAAGCGCAATCCCTCACTTTGTGAGTCCCCCCCTCCCATCGTCTCTTTTTTCTCTTCTGATCGGTGCCCCCTCCTTCCTTTCCCTGTCATCCTGGCTCACAGCTCATGTCATCCACCTTATTTAAAACATCTGATAATTGTTAAAAGTACCCCTCTGTTCTATTTCCCATACCTCTGTTCTGTCCCATACCTCTCCTCTCCCCCCTCCTCGACTCCACCTCAATCAACCCATTGCTCTCATTTCCCATTCGGTTCTCTTTCTTCTCTTCTCAATCTCTCGCTCCCCCCCTCCTCTCCCTCACCCCTCCCAGCTCACACTCAACGCCCTCAACTACACTCTCTCCCGGCCAGACATCGAAGCCGAGGAGAGCTACTAGTGTCTTGAGGTGCCTTATAACGAGGCAGAGAACTAGTAGGGACCAGCAGCAGATCCCGGCACATGATAGAGCTGGGCACGTTCTTGCTGATTGTGACAAGACTCTGAAAGGAGTCTGCAATGCAGTCGTCATATGCAGTCGTCATTATCAATTTACATGGCACATGATATAGATGTAGCAAGGTTATGCAAAGCTACCCTAAGATGCAATCTAGCTACGCGTCTATGCATGTTAGGGGTGGGACGGGCGGGAACTCAAATTGAGATGAGTGAAATGAGACTAGGTGGCAGGTCTGTGGACCTGCCGAAGGATAAGATGGGAATGCCTCCTTATTGCATTCCCCTTTTTTGAATCTTGTCACAATCATTAAATTTAGAAATATGTTTCTAAATTATTCATGTCTCGTTACAGACTGAAAGTTCACCGACTTGGCTTTCCGCACTGCTGTACAGTCTCTATTGTGTATCCATTCGTCAATATACCATGCTGTGTTTGCTGTATGCCTTTCCTGCACAGCGCACGCATGTGGATGCCAAATATGATTATTCTCAGACGGTTGCTTTCAAGAGGCGCGAAATATTATTATTCTCTTGACCGCACAGCGGCCATGGCTGACTGAAACTAAACAACCACACATGCTTACACTCCACACTTTTGTGCCGGTATGCGTGATTTGCTCTTGCACACAAGTCATGTTTCAACCTTGATTTGTGAAGAGAAGAAAAAATTGCCACAAATGAGAAAAATGCACACACATTCCCTTCACAAGTTGACACAAAGAACCCGCAAATGATATTGATGCATCCTACGGTCCACACTGTCTGGCTGCTACAAGCTTGGACGAAGCAGCACTACACTGATAGCCCCCATGCATCAGTGCATGTGCTGCTGCATCCAAGCTCCGGCCGGCAATGACAGCAAACATGAAACCCCTAGGCTCTTGCATCTATGCCATTGCAACCCCTGCACCACTTGCAAATATCTTGCGCTTCCCCATATGGTCAAGCCACCTAGTACCGGTACCGGTACCATAACTGAATTGAACTTCTTCTTTGGACCTTGAATACCCCATGCCTGCGTTCGTTCCATGAACCATGCATGCATCGCATCAAGGAGAATACGACCCTGGTCCGCCCATACCGCCTCCCATGTTGCCTCCAGGCCCTCCCATCCCTCCGCCCATTCCTCCGCCCATCCCTCCGCCCATCCCTCCGCCCATCCCTCCGCCCATCCCTCCCCCCATCCCCCCCCCCATCCCTCCGCCCATCCCTCCGCCCATCCCAGGTCCACCCTGGCCGGGTGCTGCCTGCGACCCTGGAGCAACCCACCCTGACCCACCCATGCCTCCGCCGCCCATTCCACTACCTCCCATTCCGCCGCCGCCCATTCCTCCACCGCCCATGCCTCCCCCAGGACCCATGGCTGATTGCGATCCGGGAGCAGAGGAACCAGGTCCGCCCATGCCCCCTCCCATGCCGCCGCCGCCCATTCCACCGCCGCCCATGCCGCCACCGCCCATTCCACCGCCGCCCATGCCGCCTCCGCCCATACCGCCGCCGCCCATTCCTCCGCCGCCCATTCCGCCGCCACCCATGGTGCCGCCGCCCATTCCGCCTCCGCCCATTCCGCCGCCGCCCATGCCGCCGCCGCCCATTCTGCCGCCGCCCGTTCCGCCGCCACCCATGCCGCCGCCGCCGCCCATTCCGCCGCCACCCATGTTCCCCCCAGGACCCATGGCTGATTGCGATCCAGGAGCAGAGGAACCAGGTCCGCCCATTCCTCCGCCCATTCCGCCGCCGCCCATTCCGCCACCTCCCATTCCACCGCCACCCATGCCGCCTCCGCCCATTCCGCCACCGCCCATATCGCCGCCGCCCATTCCTCCGCCGCCCATTCCGCCTCCGCCAATTCCGCCGCCGCCCATTCCGCCGCCGCCCATTCCGCCGCCGCCCATGCCGCCGCCGCCAGTTCCGCCGCCGCCCATTCCGCCGCCGCCCATGCCGCCGCCGCCCATTCTGCCGCCGCCCGTTCCGCCTCCGCTCATTCCTCCTCCGCTCGTTCCACCACTTTGTTGTTGCTGCTGGCCGGTCGAGCCTCCTTGCGCCCATCCGCGCATCATCCCGCGCAGCTTATCTGCGCGGAGCCCCGCGGAGAAGCGGAAGGCCATCGCCGCGTGGAGAGATGAGAGCAGGACGAGCGAGATGAGGAGAAGAGCCGTGCTCAGGTCACGGCTACGACGCTGGATCGACCAAAATGCCATTCTAGTGCGCGATGCCTACGATGCAGCAGATATTCCAACGGAGAAAGAAATCCAGCTGTTCAGGAGCAATCTAGCTGCCCAGGAGCTTGGAAGTGAAGAGCGGAAGCAGTTTCAGTCAGAGTCGGAAAGCTCTTTGTCCTATCTTTAGGCTCAAGTGAAGTGAATCGAAATGAGGAAGACTGAATAAATGAGTTGCTGAATGCCGCATGCATTCTTGTACCCTCATCGCGTCGCCAATGAGCAATCAGAGACCGCTGGTGAGTCAAAATCACGAATTTTCAGTCAACGTCTCGCAAAGAATGTTGACCACTGTAGCTTTCTTCACCCCGCTTCAAGAAATTGGAAGAAACTGGAAACCCGTTTTCAATCTGATCCGATATGAGAAGGTTTCGTCGCAGTGAGTAGCGCAAGAATCGATTTAAGAATCTGGTTATCAATTTCATATTTGCACAATCATTCTAGTCCTTCCACAATCGAGAATGAATCTCTAATCAGCAACCTAAGTCTCGTAGTGACTGCGACAATCTGCTGGTGGTGAGCTCACCCCAAGGGCGTTACTACATACGATGACGCGATCCGCGACTTGCCTTGCTCGACCAAGCTGACGTGGCAAAATGTCGAAGTCGCTCGGCGGCAGGGCAGGGGGGCTCTACCAAGCTGACAAGGCGAGAACGCAGAGGACTTCCGACCGAGAGAGCGAAATTCCATTTCGACGCCGCGCAGCGACTCCGCTGCCGCGTGCCCCGTCGCGTCATGCTTCAACAGTACGTGGCAGAGAAGGGAGAGGAAAGAGGGGGGATGCTGGTTTAGAGCGCACGCGCATTAAGCCTCAAATGATCTCCAATGTCTCTCGTCTTTGAAAATTCTCAAAAAACAGCTCTCTCGTCGCATCGAAGCGCACACCCCGAGGACATCCACCCTCCCATGTCGTGCCGCTGCCTTGCTCCTCGCTGCGACTCGCAGACATGCGACTCGCATTGCGTGCAGTCTCGTTTCTTAGCTAGGCGATGGCGGCAGAGGGACAACAGCGAGATCCGCGCTCCGACACGCGTGCAGCTCCGCCATCCGCAGCTCCGCCACGCGCATATCTCCGCCACGCGCATATCTCCGCCACGCGCATATCTCCGCCACGCGCATATCTCCGCCACGCGAGCTTGTCAGCTTGCTGTCACCTGTGACCCGGGATTGCCACCATGCTTGCCGTGCATGTCTCTGCATATCCCCTACCCCCAGGCTCCCAACCCCCCTCCCCCTGTGTCTCCCTGCCCTGCACTGACCCTCCCTGTGCTCTCTCTCTCGCTCTTAGTGTCACCCCATACCTCTGCGTCTCATATCGTCCGCATCTCCCATTTCC